GGACACCACCACCATGGACAATCAATTGCCACAGCAACACGCGCGAGACATAACAGAAAAGCAGCGATACACCAATTGACAGTCGCCATTTTGAACACTGAGCAATATGATATTAATGTCAGTACTACAAACCTTTGACTGACATAGTATATTACAAATAAATAGCTAAGTGATTGACACCTGTCACAGAATTTATGTAGTAATGTGTAGTCGATCTTTACCAGTCTCGTCAGATTTTTCTATCATACAGACAATTTTAAAGGGCGTGTGTAGCCGTCATCAAATTATACTCAATATTATTATTACCTTGTTATATATTAGTGACATTTATGTATTACGTATGCGTGGGACTTGTTTCCAAATGTTGCAAATCATAATCAGATAAACAATACTCGATTCATTATGCTTATTAATAGTCGTGCATATCGTTGGTCACCTGTTTATTCTCACGAATGCCCCCATATGTGTATTCAATGCGAAGATTCTTACAACCTGTGCTTGATTGGCTACCTAATTCGGACATCTAACAGTCTGGCCAATAATAGAACAGGTTATATTTTATCGACGTATCTAATTTTGTGTTGTATATACTAGCATGCTGCGACTCAACTACATATGTAGGACACTATCTTCACAAGATACTTCGGTACACATATTTGGAACATGTGCAAATAATAACAGACATCGTTGGGGTAGTTTTCGGGTATATATATTTATATATACATGGCATTATTTAGGGAATAAGAGACAACGTGTTTATTATTATTGCGTATTTTAATTCACCACCATCAGAACTACTAAGTAGTTAGCGCCCACAGCTCAAAGGAGAGCCAGCCTGCGCTATACATGACTTCAACATACATATGAAAACACAAAGCCACAGTCTAGGCATTGTACACATAAAATTAATACTGCTACCGTTACCTTATCCTTATATTGTAAGTATTGGGTTCATAAAGGGATGTGTGCCTAGTTTTAAAGACAGTGGCGATCTTTCCTTGGTAGTTATATTTTGAACATACATACACATATATACTGTGACATAGTACTATTGAACCCTAAAAAATATTGTGACTTTGACCTTTTGATCTAGAAATGCGTCAACATGTTGTGAGTCACTTTGGAACCATGATTGATAAGTGTTATGTCCCTCTGTAGTTATATACAAAATATACATACATAAACTGATTTCTAAATGTGGCAAGGTCTTACGAATCTCACATGGAACATGTTGCCAATTTTGATAGCACTGGCTCTTTTTACGTAGTTACATAGTACACAACACATGCTGTGACCTTGACTTTTTCCCGTAAAAGGTCGCTGTCTCGTGTGGGTGACAAAAATTATACCCAATTCTTGGTTTGTTATTGGATCCCCACAGCGCCATATTGGACGAAAAGAGTCTATTGCAAAATAAAGTAAAGCTACGATGACATAACTTACAATAATGAGCAGTGTGTTGTCCTTTATTTCATGAATAAAATTATCGGTACGTTTTAGAAGAGAGAAATCTATAGTGATGTTAGGATGTAAGAAGTCGACGCTTACAAGCAAATGACTTGTAAAAACACGCTTATTGAATGGTCGGAATTTCGTAAAGCGAACAAAATGTAAAGGTTTGTTTTTTTTAACGATTCTTGTAAATGTAATTAAAAAATGCAATATTAATTTTGTTGATTCATTCGCAATCTTGTTCGTACGTTTGTGCGTTGTCTCAAGTTAATGCCTAGTAATTGTTCGATAACTGAACAGCACGTGGTATCCGATTGGCCAATGAGAACGGGATGTTATACTGTAACTTATGGCGCTCTTAGGTCATGAGATAATTTCCCTTGCCTTGTATTAATTTTCTATAATGCCACATCTTTTTATGCAGATTAGTAAACTACTACTTTTTAGATGAATACGAGTAGAAGTTAATCCAGTTTTATTGCATTGTATTTATTGTACTATAATAATATTAATAAATTACATTAAATTGTGCATATTTGTTCATTTCATAATTATGAGGTAACTCGGTCAATGATATTCTTCATGAACTCCATCTGAACGCCCGATTTCAAATCTGAAAAGAAAAGAAAAACAAAACGTTTACGTTTGTGAAAATAATTCAATCTCAGGTTTCTTATTGTGTTTTGAGCAAATATCAAAACTATACTGAAGAAATATGTATTTACTAACCATAATTGCTGTTGGTATAACCCCACCTGAAATATATGATATAAATTATGTTAATGTCAGAGGGAAAGTAACATTCATTGATTATTTTTTCAACATCTCACAGTTAGAATTATATTGTTTATGGCGAGTTTTTAAAAAAGTCTGTTCAAATCACATTCATCGAAATAATAAAAAAAAGTGTATTCTATCTTACCAATCCCAACATCCGTTAGCGTTGCCTAAGCTAGTAGTGACTTGAGGGTAAACGATGATAATGTCATTCTCTTCGCCAACTTCGTTATATCCAGTGTTTAGGGCATACTCTTCATCTAGTGCGTGCCTATAATGTACAATTACAAGGAATCATATGATACATTTTTTGCATGTACAACCTGATTAATTCATAGTATATATGAATATATAAATGTTATTTCGATCACAATGTCAAATAGTTATTCTGATAGTGTGCTTTCATTTTGTAGTTGAATTTGAATTTTAAATTACTTTTACCTTCCCTGCAAGCATCCGTGAATAGCAATGTGTAATTTACAACCTATGTAGAAAGCATAACAATTACAATAATAATTGCGTATGTTATGAGAGTCTGTTTTAACCGTGATGGTTTCGTATCATAGCATAGTTGGTCTGAAACTTTAGTAATTTGACACTGCGTGAGTGCGCTACACCAACTGAACAATGCTTCGTAACACAGTCAATGACTATTAACTTCCTTAATTATAAATTAAACGTCATTATTATGTCGTGACATAAGTTATTCGTCTCATGTTGGTTAGTTTATTGAACATCGCATAATCAGTAAAATCGTAATCAAATTAATAAAGTTGCGTCTCATTATTGCTGCCTTATTACTAGTAATAAACTGCACTGTTGTGTTATTGCGCATTAATAAAGCTACACATGAAGTTGTCACCAACAAACTATCAATGTGTGCTTGTTTTGTTTTGTTTGTTTCGTTCTTCTCTTCTTAATGCACGTAAGGCCTTGAACCTGACTAGACATCACTTTCTATAAACTAGATCTAAGAAATACGCTCGTAATAGTAACTTAAAATCCCTCTAAAATTGTTATATTTTTCCTATTATTAGTTTAATATAATTTATGTGAAAAATAACTTATAATGCTGTTCTATGCTGCGAATATATGGAAATAGTATATTGATGGTACATTACCCGGGGTACTTATGCATCCTGTTGGTACGTAAATATAACCCACAGTATCCAAGCTGGTGGAACCAACAAAAGTTGGCTCCAGTTCTGTCTGGTCAAATGCCAGCATCTACAGTGTTTAAACACATTTTGATGAAATTAATTTGTGCAATAAATATCGGAGACATAGTACAGGTTTAGGTTGACGTAGACATCTGTGAAACCAGCTTAGCTATGCCTGAACAATACACCTAAACCAAAAACTTATAAGTCAATATAGTTGTACGATTACATAGTTGGTTCAACCCTAAACGTGCCTGAAATAAACTGAACGCTTTATTTAGTTTCATGGCTATCATGACACATCCAGTTCAATCCAGAATGGCATTCGATAAGACTGCACAGTTGACATTGCACTTCAACTTCCATGCCTTCCAAACCACATCCACTCAGTGAAACACAGTTTTACATTAGAAAATATAAGATAAGCTGTGATACTTACGTCACCCGGCATAGCGCCCCCATATGACGAAGGTTTCTGTTGTGTAAAAAAAATCAAAATTCAATTAACTTTATTGTTTTGCAGTAATGACCTCAATGATATTGACAAATTGAGGGTGAATAATGTAGTAAAGTAAATTTGTAATAATTATTTCTCGGATTACATTTGGTAAAACCATTTATGTTCGAAGCGTACGATAACATTAACAAGGTCATTATAAAGACAACACATCTGTTGAATTTGTGATCAATTAATTTAATGAATTTTTAACAAAGTATTTACTTTATTTTTCTCGTATTAAAATAGCTACAATGTTTTTATTTTGTTTTAACATTGCCAAACTGTTGCCACATGCACATACCCATATTTTCCCCACACGTATTTTTGTTTAAATGGTGATTTTGAACATGACTGGATTTTTTCGATAGTTGTCAAGACATTGCGTTTTCATTACTTAGCAATGCATGTTACAGACCACTTACCCTTAGGTTTCCTCCGTATATGTGGTTCATGAGAACGTAGGCTGCTGGATAATCACAATCGTTGATGTAAGGAGACTTCTCTGCTGCACATATGTTGCCATAGTGTTCTGTAATCTGTGAAGATTATTGTTATCAAATTATTCAATCACGTTTTGAATATAATGAAAATGTTACTGGGCATCATGTGCAATGCATTATGGCAGATGAATTTTCGTTTAGTGTATTCCGATAACGTTACTGAATTATGCAAGAGAAATTCGCCAAAATATATTAACAGAACCGGTACTGTACACTTATTATGGTTTTCCGTGTTGACATTTTCGAGGACAAATTGTGCATGAAAAGGTAGTAAAAAGGAGAATAACTTTAATAAGCCATTGTGACAGAAATAATGAGCTGTTTAGGTGGTGTTCAATGGGTTGTTATCGTGAACTGTAGGTCAGGCATTACCCCACTCATATTACAAACACGGCAGACTGTTTTACCCCAAAGCAACCGTGCTCACGAACTACTGGATAAATATGCTAATAGCGTGCAAGCAGACTGAAATAGAATCTATTATCCAGCTGTATTTTTGCCGTTCCAATAAAAATCCAAATGACTAATTTAAATAACACTATGGAGACAGTTCTGATCCAGGCAGAGCAGCTAGATCATTGTTATATTTGCGTAATAATTGTCTTTTTTATTGAAGCGTAGTTAATATGTCTTATTTCTTTGACAAAATATTATTATTTTGCTATTTAATTTATCGATCTTCTCACTCGTTCAAGAAGTTCGTTATTATGTTTATTGTTTTATTTCTATACCTTTATCAAATGCAATAGATTATATGAATGATATTAGAGAAGTCAATCAATCGTATGGAATGTTTACGGTGAATTATGAAAAGAATGCTAGATGTGAAATATATTTACAAACCATGGCATGACCTGCTGGGATACCATACTCTGTCGCGATGTTCCACGTCGGCATATAGTGTTTACAATAATCTTCCAATGCCACCATTACACCTATAAGTACGGATGAGGTATAACTAATGTAACATACATGCAATATACGCGATGTACATACTTAAATATTCAATATTAAAAAATGCGTTGATCGCCCATGAATATGAATTTGTTTGATAAAACAATGAACTGCTTCCAATTAGTAGTACGTACTGTAAAATCAAGGCGCATGTGCACATGCGCAGTTCATCCAACGTAGTGTGCTCTGCAACACTAATACCAGTTAAAGTTGTTCATATTGAAATATACCCTTATATATATATATATATATATATATATATATATATATATATATATATATATATATATATATATATATATATATATATATATATATACGAAAAAAAACGCTTTACCGATGTACTTAATAAATACACTGAGAGCAATATAATATAAGGTTATTACGAAGATATCCCAAAGTATGCACGAAGGCAGTACGGCGGGAGTATCGACCGACACGCAG